CCTTTCTTGTTGGGTTCATCACTGCCCTGTGTCCTAGACACTAGCTTATTCTGTCTTCCCTTTCTCCATTCCAGTTTTCTGCTACTGTGGGACAGTAGCTGTATGGAGTCATTTCAAAGGCTCATAGAGAAGTTGGAATAGATCAAACGCTTACTAAATTCGTTCTAAATGAAAGAATGGGTTTATAGTTCCCTTGAGTTTACAGCAATCCAGGGCAACTCAAAGGAGACAGATGAGTGAACAAGACATAATGAACATGAGTTTGCCCTCTGGTCATGGATGATAATGGAGGCTTTCAGATAAGTTAACTGTCTGGGGGAGGCTTTTGCATCAGAGTAATCAGCTCGATGGTACAAAGTCTCCTGGGCATAACAGAGACTGACATACAGTAAGCTTTGCACGTTGCACCTGTGACGCTGAGCCTTAACTCCCTGATAACCGGTCTTCCTAACGATCTCCTTATTCCTGGCCTGGAGCAAAGGCTGAAGCAATGGACACCTCAGAAACTGGCTACTGGTTCTCAGCCATGGAAAGAAAGGGGAATCCCCACAAAAGTGGTGATTTAATTTCTTACCAGTCCAGTGGGGGGGGGGGGGAAGCAAGGCTTTTTATTTTACCAAGTTTAATGTGTTAGGATAAGCGGGTTTCTTTTCTAGTTCCATCCATTTGCTTGCAAATTTAACGGCATCATTGTTTTTAATAGCTCAGTAATATCCCATTGTGTAAATGTACCACAGATTCTTTATCCATTCTTTGGTTGAGGGAAATCAAGGTTGTTTCCAGTTTCTGGAAATAAATAAAGCTGTATGAACATGGTTGATCAAATGTCCTTGCTGTATGGTGGAGCATCTTTCATATGTATACCCAGGAGGGATATAGATGGAACTTTAGGTACGGCTTTCCCAGTTTTCTGAGAAAGTGCCAGATAGATTTCCAAAGTGGTTGTGCAAGTTTGCACTCCCACCAACAATAAAGGAGTATTCCCCTTTCTCCATATCCTTGCCACAAACCCAGAAAGACACACATGGTATATAGTCACTTATAAGCCCGGTGTTAGTCAGATAGTACAGGATAGACATACTATCATGCACAGACCCCAAGAGGATAAGTCCTAGGGGAGTGGGGGAATATCTCTGACAAGTACTATGTTGCCTACTTTTTTATCACTTCCCCCTGAGGGGACTTCCCTACCAGGCCATGGGAGACAAACTCAGTTCTCCTGTGAACAGATGAACTGGGGTGTCTGGGTGGGGGGACCCCCCTATTCTGAAGAATAAGGGAGAGGAGATGCAGGAGGGAGGGTGGGACTGGCAGAAGAGGAAGGAGAGGCCTCAAAAAAAAGAGTAAGTGGGTTACAAGCAATGCAAAATTACACTTAACTATAACTTGTGAGAAACAGTGCAGGTTCTGCTCAAGAGGAGCAGGGAAGGAAAGAAGCCTTTGAAACAAGTGAAGAAAAGGGTCCCTGAGCTCCAGATGGCAGGAGTCAATGGCCTTTGTCAGAGAGCCATCTTTGAGTTGAACACAGTACAACTATATTTAGTTGTTCTAAGCGTCTGATTGGTCAAGCATGGTCAGGTGTCCACCAATTGGCAAAGAGAAAGAGATTGGACTTAGGTCAGAGGCTGTCCCACCAAGACACCAGTCAAACAAGAGTAACAAGCTTTCCACAGAAATACCTGAATATGGCAATTCAAACATGAAGGCACATAAGCAAATTTGGAGATACCATATCCATTATTCATTCATATTCCCTACTTTTCATTATAACACTTACAATACAAGTTCCATGGAGTCAGAAAATTTTGTGTTGTGCCTTACTGGGTGCTTGTCCTTAGACTATTCCATAGCTTGTAATAATCATTCATGGTTAAAAGGGCTAGGGGTTAGCTCAGTGGTAGAACAGTTACCTAGTTTGTTAAGCAAATGAGTCATTAAGTTGAAACCTCAGCACCATAATGAATAAGTAAATAAATATTAGTTAATGTATTACTATGTCTCTAAATTCGCTACGGTTACTATAGAGAAGTATAAGTCCAAGGAGGAAAATATGTTGTCAGTAAATTTTATGTAAAGGCAAAAGTTTACAAAAGAATCAAAGTCTGAAGTAATCACTCATTGAAAACCTTTAACTGGACAGAAAACCATAGGAAGATTCTAAAGAGTTAAAAATGTTTAAGAGCCATGCAGAAGAAGGCCTAGGAAAGGTGGTTGGAGGGACGGGCTGAAGATAAAAGGTCTACCTCCTGGCAGACATTGTAAGCACTTTTGCACATGCTGTCTCAATGGTGTGCCGAAACTCCAAGAAATATGTAGAAAGTAACGATCATCACAGAATGTGGGCCACTTTTGCTTCATACTCATGTTACAACAGGCCATTGACCTGAGGTACCCTCCACTAGATACACATTTGATTTGCACAATGAGGCCATTGGCTCTGGCAAACAGCAGTGTCAACATTGCTAATCAGAAACAACAATCTCTCATGCCCATCTCTGCTCCACCTTCAAACACACCCACAGCAAGAAATGACAAACACTTTACATGTGCCTAGGTGAGCCGTCTCTCACTTGTGTAGAAAGGGCAGCCAGCTAACCTTGTAGGAACTTTCTTCTCTCCTGGCTTCTCATGAGGATGGCACCCAGCTCACCTTATCCAAAAATACTTAGTGGAGAAATGTTTTTAGAGTTTTCCTCATAGACATCTAGGTCTAGACTGGGCCTGTGCTTATTCTACAGATAACAAGGGGAAATTAAATTTTTAAAAAATGCTCAGTACCTCACAACTTGTTTGTTTTAGGCCTGGGTTTTAACAAGCGTCTCCCACTTTCTAATTCAGCCCTTTTCTCATTCACCAGTGTTTTTTGCTTCTTTGTTTGTTGTTTGTTTGTTTGCGTTTGTGTTTTTTGCTCAGATTCATACTGGCTTTGCATTTTCTGCAGCAGCCCAGAGACAAAAAGCATGTGTTTTAAGGAGCTGTAATTCAAGATGCTCTGTTTTTCTCTTTGAGAACTCACAGACCAACCTGACAGCATGTCTCTTCTAATTGTGCAACATGAAAATGAGGCCCATATATCCAAGAAGCATCATTTAATGTTTGCTCTGATGTCTGGAGATTTTTTTTTTTAACATCAATTCAGTTTCAGCCACCTCAACAGAAAAGCACCTTGGACACAGAGCCAACAGCACCCTCCAATTGGCCAAAACAAAATCAAGGTTAGAATAAATGATTACAGTTTCAGAGAATCTTAACCCTCATTTGGATTCAAAGTTCCTCAAATGGGAATATAATTACTTTGCCACTCCTTTATTTACTCTATCGGTCTGAGTTCAAAAAATAAAAGCCACTCGTAGAATTTCTTTAAATAGTAACATCCCTAATCACATCAAAACATGATCTACATCATTGCATTCTATTAACTAATGAGTCTATTTCTCACGCATAGTTATGTTGAAAAAAATTCTAGAAAGCATCAAAAATATTACCGGAAAGATGGAAAAATGAATTAAAACTCCATTAAAATTTTAAAATGTTTACTCTAATGACTCTGTTAAGCAGGTGAAACTATCCACAACTTGCACTGCTTTACCAGAAGCCGGGCCCATTCGAGGGACCCCAAGTACCACACCACCTGCTAATACTCCATAAGGTCCACCAACATCCCCCAACAGCACCGCTCTCCTGGGCTCCTTATTCTGGCCCACAGCTGAAGCAGAGCACATCTGCTTTCCCAGAGGCTACCCAGGTACTAGGGATCCCAGGTGAGACACCACCTGCCCCCTCCAACACCTCTTAAAGCCTGACTGGCAGCCCCCAAGAGCACCCTCTCTCCTGGGCTCCATATTCAGTCCCACAACTTCTCCTTTAACAGAGGCCATTCTGTACTAGGAACCCAAGCAGATACCCAGAACCCCAGAGGCCACACAAGTACTTGGAACACTTACGTCAGTGTTGGCACCCAAAACCACAGAGGTCATAGGCCACAAAAAAACCAGCACAGACAACCTACTGGACCTGAAGACTAGCTGGTCACCAGAACCCCAGGCTACTCAGGCCAGAAGACCAGAGAGAAAACAGAAACCAAGCAGGAAAAAAAAACATCCATCTAACAAAGAGAAGCTCAGAAATCAGCACCTAAACCTGTAATAGCCCTAAATCCAGATGACTAGAGGCCAGCATAAGAACACAATCTAACAGAAGCAGAAAGGCACCCATGGTATATACTCACTTATAAGTGGGTTTTAGACATATAATATAGGCTAAACATACTAAAATCTGTACACCTAAAGAAGCTAAGCAAGGAGGAGGATCCTGGGTAAGATGATCAATCCTCATTCAGAAAGCAAATAGGATGGACATCAGAGGAAGAAGAAAACAGGAAACAGGACAGAGGCCTACCACAGAGGGCCTCTGAAAGCCTCTGCCCTGCAGGGTATCAAGGCAGATGCTGAGACTCATAGCCAAATTTTGGGCAGAGTGCAGGGAATCTTATGAAAGAAGAGCGAGAAAGAAAGACCTGGAGAGGACAGGAGCTCTACAAGGAGACCAACAGAATCAAAAAATCTGGCACAGGGGTCTTTTCTGAGACTGATACTCCAACCAAGGACCATTCATGGAGATAACCTAGAACCCCTGTAGCCCATGGCCCATGGCAGCTCAGTCTCCAAGTAGGTTCCCTAGTAATGAGAACAGGGACTGTTTCTGACATGAACTCAGTGGCTGTCTCTTTGATCACCTCCCCCTGAGGGGGAGCAGCCTAACCAGGCCACAGAGAAAGACAATTCAGCCAGTCCTGATGAGACCTGATAGGCTAGGGTCAGAGGGAAGGGTATGAGGACCTCCCCTGTCATTGGACTTGGGGAGGGGCATGGGAGAAGATGAGGGAGGATGGGGTTGGGAGGGGACTCAGCTATTAAAAACGACAGTGTCGTTAAATTTGCAAGCAAATTGATGGAACTAGAAAAAATCATTCTGAGTGAGGTAATACAGACCCAGAAAGACACACATAGGATGTACTCACTTATAAGTGGATTTTTGCCATATGGTACAGGATAAGCATACTCAGAGGCACAGACTCAAAAGAAGGTAAGTAATAAGGAGGACCCAGGTGAGGATACATAAATCTCACTAGGAAAGGGGAGAAAGAATAGGGATTTGGGGACAGACAGGGAAAAGGGTCTGCATGGGATATGGGGATTGGAATGGGGGGATAAGTTATGGGGATTATAAAGGGAGAGAGTAAAGAGATAAAGTACTGCCATCAGGCGGTTCATAGACATACATGCAAGCAAAACATCCATATACATTTTTTAAGTTAATAAAGTCAATTCTATGTGAAGTGTAAATTTGTAGCTCTCCAGGCTGCAAATGAGAACATAGATTGACTGTAAATGGGAAGGCGATCTTTGGAGATTGATGACAATACTCTAAATTCATAGTGGTGATGGTTGTGCAAATACGAGAATTTGCTGAAAAACTACCTGACTATACATTTTAAAGGGTAGATGTTACGATGTGCAACTTACAACCTAAAGGCTCACTGATCGAAGAGTAAGATTTCCCTTTTTCACTAAGAGTGAGAGGGACTGTATATACTTTCTTCTGACATGATGCATCACCTAGAAATTATATAAGAGAAACAACTTTTTTTCAAGACTTGAGAAAACAGCAGCTAAGGATGACCTCACAATTCCTGCTTTCTGAGCCAAAGATTGAAAGTCGAGAATCTAAGGTGAGATGGCTCAGAAAGCAGGGACAGTCCAATGGACTAACTGAGTCTCAGATGTTGAAGTTGAGAGCCCAGAAAACAAAGGCAGTTGAATTTTCAAAATGTCATAGTAGAGTGAGTCACTCCAAGAGAAATTGGGAGATCCACAGGGGTTTCCTCAAGCAGTGAGTATATGCATGCAAGGGAGCTAAACAAGATTAGGAGAACAACTGAAAAAGATCAACAAGAACAGCCAGACTAGGCAACTCACAGTCCACTGTGTATTAGAAACACCCATAAGAATCTTGCTTCAACAGTGGGAAATAATTAATCTTAGATTAAACAAAGTTACAATTTAACCTAAAAAATAATCACAGAACAGAACCCAAAAGTACCAAGCTTTTTTTCAAATAAGTTGGAAATGTCCTAGAACAGCACTCAAGCAAATTTGTGTGAATACACAAAGCTCCAGCACTAACTAGACCACCATGTCTGGCATCGAGTCAGAAACCACCAGGTGTGATGATGGATCTTCATTGTTCACTGGATTTGAAATCACCTAGGAGACACTCCTGAAGGTGTGTCTGTGAGGGTGTTTCCAGAGATGGTCAGTGGGGAAGAGAAAACTCCCTTTGAAGGTGGGAGACACAACCCCATGTCCTGAGCTCATAACTAGCCTGAGAAACAAAATGGAGCCAATATGAACACCGGCAATCATCTCTGTCTCTGCTCCTTGATTACAGAAGAAACATGGCCAGCCCCCTCACAGCCGCCTCTTGCTGCCATGCCTTTCTGCCATGGTAGATCGTATTGCGTCTTCAACTATAAGACAAAATTAACTTTTCTTCCTTTAAATTGTTTCTATTAATATTTTTCACAAAAGCAAATATTTTATTTTGAGATTATAATTTCATTGCCTTTCTCTCTTCCCTTTCTTCATCCAAGCCTCCTATATCCCCTCCCTTCTATCTTTCAAGTTTATGGTCTTTTTCCATTAATTTTATTGCATGCATATATGTATTTGCATATACATACATATCACTAAATATAATCTGTCTATATAATATTACTTGTAAACATGTCTCAGGACTGACAATTTGGTACTGGACAACCAATTGGTACAATCCTCCCTGAGGAGGACCACCTCTTCTGCTCCCAGCTTTTTGCAGTCGCCTGTGGTTCTCTGTGTAGAGTTGAGGCCTTGTGGGCATTTCCCTATTCAGTTTGACATGTTCACTGGTGTCATCCTTCTTCAACTCAAGTTTTGGCAGTCATGTTGATGAAACTTATAGCCATAGCTTTTGATATTACTAGGAGACACAACCTCACAGCAAACTCCTTGATTCTGACTCTTACAACCTTTCCTCCCTCTCTATCACAACATTTGCTGAGCCTTAGGTACAGTAATGTAGTGTAGATATATCTACTGGGACTGATCTTTACTCCACAACTCTGCATTTTCATTGGTTGTGGTTTGCTGTAGTGGTCCTCATCTCTTGCAAAAGATAAGTTTCCTTGATGAACGGTGAGACTACACCTATCAGTGGGTATAAAGATAACTGTTTTTAGACTTGTCAGGGATTATCCCAGGGTAGTAAATTACTGGTTGTAGATTACTCTCCAATAACCATGACATCACTAGCACTCATTAGTTAGCTGGGTTTTCAGTTCCAGGCATGGTATTTTTCTTGTTGAGTTTGGTCTTAAGTTCAACTATAGAGCAGCTGGTTACTGCCAAGATATATGTGCCACTTCTTTATCCACAGGATTGTCATGCCATTCTGGTTGTTGATATTCATAGGCATCTTAGGTGGATAGGACAGTTGTTTGCACAGAAGATTGTATTTTACTCTTTCCGGTACCATGAAACCTCATCCTCAGGGAGGAGACATGCAGGTCAGTTCCAACTGAGTGGGCTCAGGGTCTTGTTTCTGAAGTGTATGGTGTCTAAGGCAATAGGAACTTCCCTTCCACTTCTCAGGTGTAAGTAAGAGCAACAGCAATAAATAACAGCATGTTTTAGAAGTCTCTTAGTTATCCCTGGCTAACAACGTAAAAGAGCTTCTCATGTCTTGTATTGGGGCTTTTGTTAGGTGGTCTTTGACTTGTGGAAGAAGCACCATTAGACCAGATGGTAAAAATGTATTAAAATTACATATATGTATTTTTATATATGTATTGCATTATAGGCATTATGATTGTTTTTGGTTGGTTGGTTTGGTTTGATTTGGTTGGTTTGTGTCTTGTTTTTAGGAAAATGGATAATAGTATGATCCCTTGTGGCTTTTTCAACCATCCATATTGTTATGTTACCTCCTCTTGTTTTTATATCTTTCCCCTTTCCCTAAGAAGGCCCCCTCTTTTCTCACTCACCCCATCAGACCAATTGCATCCTCCTATTGCTCTATATCCTCCTCCCACTTTGTTCTGTATTAACGTCTCTACCCCTGCAGAAGGAGCCTACATTTCCCCATTTCCCTGTCAAATCACTTGTATCCTGCTCTTCCCCTCTACCCATATTTATCTCCCTCCCTGCCCTAAGGAGCTCCTCTTTCCATTTCTCTGATTAGATTACTTATACCCTGATATTTCCCTTTTTATTGCTCCCAACAGCCCACTTCCCACTACCAAACCTTGCAATGGTAAAATGGTACCATTTTAATTTCCTGATTTCCAAAGCTACTCACACCTAAAGATTTGGAACTAAGAGCCTCTAATAAAAGAGAAGTGAGGTTTGTCTTTCTAGATATAGATTAATTCCCTCAATATGATCATCTCTAGTTCCATCCATGTACATACAAATTCCATAACTTCTGTTTTCTTTTCTACTTAATAGTGTTCCATATCCATCCATCCATCAGTTGTACAACATTTAGGTTGTTTCCGTTTCCTAGCTATTCACAACAGTTTTTAAAGGTAACCAATATATCAGGCATGCTGAGAAATGGAAAATCCAATCAGTCAAAGCTGACATAGATAACAGAATTACCACAAGAGAAAACTAAAGATGTTATAACCATTTTAAGAGTGATAGCTAGCTAGATAGATAGATAGACAGATAGATAGAGGCACTGAACTTTCGAAGGTGGAAATTATAATACCTGATGTTTAAGATGCACAGCAAACTGGGTGTCACAAAATGAAATACCAGTGAACTCAAGGCTGGGGGTTTAACTCAGGGGTAGTATATCTGCATATCACTGTGGGCCCTGGGTTCCATAGCAACACACACACACACAGCAATGAGTTCAAGTTATTGTAGAAAGTAATAGAAATTGTTTAAAATTAAATGTAGAGATAAAAAGATTTTTTTTAAGAAAATGTTAAAACATTAGTGAATACCCCCTAGCAATGACAAAGAGACACCTTGTTGGTGTGGTTCTTATTTCAGTCAGGGGCAGAGCAGATGGCTGTCCTTTGTTCATCCTAGTTTGATGCCTGGCTTGGTGGCCAAAGCTGTCCTATGCCTAGGACTCATAAAAATCAAGTCAAATCAGATTAAATCAAACCCAGGCATCACAGGCCAGGAAGAAGACAGACTTGCAGACCGCCTTGCCACCCAACAGACCTGCCCTCCTATGCACAGCACAGGTGGGCCATAGACACCTGTTTGCCTCCACACCATGTAGAATGATGAAGGATTTCACCCAGGGGCCCCCTGGCCTGCAGCATGGCCAGCCAGCATTGTACCAGGATATGGTGCTCAGATGGGAGAGAGAGATATGTGGAACAGCTGGAGCACTATGAAGAGAGGTGGAACTGGGGACTCAAGAGTGAAGAGGAGTAACCTAATATGAGCTACAGCTGAGGACCACGTGTGAGTCAGTGGTTATGCAGCAGCAGGGGTTGATGTTAATGTTTGTGGCTCATATTACCACTAGACCCCATGGAGATGTCCATGGGGCTGTGCATAACTGGCCCCGCCCCTCACTGAATGCATCATTCTGGAAAGCTGGCCCCATCTCCCATCATTGGGGAGAGTGAGCCTTGTGCTTCACCCAGGGAGCACAGTAGAGCTGGTCCTGGTGGTGGGGTGTAGGTGAGCCAGCCCTGAAGGCATAAGTATGTAAGGATGATGCCTTCCTCCACTCCCACCCCCCAACCCCACCCCTGCCTTGCTCCTTACCTCCTGCAGCAGTTGGGAGAACTGGCCCCTGTGGTCATGAGAGCAAGAGATTTGGTCCTGGCCCTTGGCAAGCTGCAGCACTCAGGAGACCAAGCATCTCACCTGGGCAGCACAGTTGGCCTGGCCCTGATCAGGAGGCAGCAGGTAAGCCAGCGCTGAGGACAAAAGCATGGCAAGGCTGGCCCTGCCACTTGTCTATCATGAGATGGCATGTGGGTGGGAGTAATGCCTTTTCCCTCCCCTCCTTGCCACCTGCAGTAGCTGGAAGAGCTGGCTCTGGGGTGATGAGAGCAGGAGAGCTATCTCTGACCCCTCACTGGCTGTAGCACTCAGGAGAGCCAGCCCTGCACCTGGCCTGGGCAACACAGTGAAGCTCATGCTGATAGCGAAGGCAGAGGTGAGCCAGTCCTGAGGGTGTCAGAGCAGGAGAGCTGGCCCAGCCCCTCACAGGCTGCAGCACTTGGGAGTCTGGGCCCTGCACCTTGACTGGGCAGCACAGTGGAGCTGGAGCTGTGAGTGCAGGTAAGCTGGCCCACAGGGCATGAGAACAGGAGAGCTGCTCCAGCCTCCTGCTGATGTCAGCACTATCTAGATAGTCCTGGTGGTGGTAGTACTGATAATGGAGAGAAGTGGGCTGACTAATTCAGCTACCACCCAGGTCTGAATAGACCCGCCCCAAAACCTGTATTACCTGGGAATGGATGGGACATGTGAAAGGGCCAGTCCTGCTCTTCCAAAGCTGCAGGATCTCCATGACACAGGAAGGACAAAAACAGGATAGCTGAGAGGAGTTCCAATGAGGATCCAATATTGACGGTGTCACAGAAGCCAGAGATCTCCAAACAGACCAACGACTCATTGCAGTGAACATTTGCAAGTGAAGATGTGTGGACAGAGGGATACACTGTGACACACTACAGCTTCCACAATAAACTGTTTTCTATGCTTTGTTTGTTGTTGTTGTTGGGGTGTGTGTGTGTGTGTGTGTGTGTGTGTGTGTGTGTGTGTGTGTGTGTTATTTGGAGGGGGAGGCTTACAAGAGCAAAGGGAGGATAAAAGGGGATGAGAGATGAGTGGGACTAGCGTGCATGATGTGAAACTCATGGAGAATCAAATTTAAAAAACATAGTGAATCATTAGAACGTTGAAATGGTCTGATATATAGGTATTTGGAATCCCCAAAGAGGAAAGAGCATGGAAAAAAATGGTGGTTAAAATGTTCTAAATTTAGTACAAACTGTAAGCCGTGGTTAAAGTAATTTCAACAATATACAGGGGAACACAAGAAAACCCTACTAAGAAACATTAATTGTTCAAACTCAATGATAAAACCATCAAAACAAAAAGAAAGCATCAGAGGGAAAAGGACAAAGACAAAAAAAAAAAAAAAAAAAAAAAAAAAAAAAAAAAAAAAAAAAAAAAACGGCCAAAGGTTTCTCTTGAAAAGCACATAAACCACGGAAAAAAATAGATCCGTCAACCTGTAATTCTACAACAAAGATGCAGCCTCCAAAAACCATTCATTAGAGAAATACAAGTGATAACTACAGCAAAGCTGCTATTAAGAATGGCTGAAAATGAAAAGACTGCTATTATAAACAAGTTGAAGGTTTGGAGGGACTGGGAGCCATATGTTGCTATTTGTCCTGTAGACTGTTGCAGTCACTTTGGTAGACATGTTGGGTTTGAACAGGAGCTGTGGTGTGTACTTCACTATGCTAGCCACTCATTCTATTTCTCGAGTTTTACTCAACAGAAATAATATGTCCATAAGGAGACGTGACACAGTAGTTAGAAGCTCACCTTTTACTCACCAGAATTTGGGAACATATCTAAATGACCTTGATGGTCACATCAGGGAATGATCAAAATAAATTGCAGTATATTCATACATTAGAACAAAACACCAGCAATGAAAAGGTATGGACTATTGATTGCATACACTGCAGTATTAATGAACCTGAAAATAATTATACTTAGTGAAAGAGGCTACACAAAAAAAATAATTCATAGTGTATAATTCAATTTTTTATTTTTTATTTACTATTACAATTTATTCATTTTGTATCCCAGCTGTAGCACCCTCCCTCATCCCCTCCCAATCCTACCCTCCCTCCCTCTTCTCCTCCAATGCCCCTCCCCCAGTCCACTGATAAGGGAGGTCCTCCCCCCTTCCATCTGACCCTAGCCTATCAGGTCTCATCAGGACTGGCTGCATTGTGTTCCTCTATGGCCTGGAAAGGCTGCTCCCCCCCTCTGGAGGAAGTGATCAAGGAGCCAGCCACTGAGTTCATGTCGGATACAGTCCATGTTCCCATTACTAGGAAACCCACTTAAAGACTGAGCCGCCATGAGCTACATCTGTGTAGGGGTTCTAGGTTATCTCCATGCATGGTCCTTGATTGGTATCAGTCTCAGAAGAGGCCCCTGGGCCCAGATTATTTTAGTTCTGTTGCTCTCCTTGTAGAGCTCCTGCCCCCCCAGTTCTCTCTGTCTCCCCCTTTTTTCATAAGATACCCTGCACTCTGCCCAAAATTTGGCTATGAGTCTCAGCATCTGCTTTGATACCCTGCTAGGTAGAGTCTTTTGTAGCAGCTTTACTCGTAATATCCAGAATCTGGAAACAACCCAGATGTCCCTCAATGGAAAAATGGATAGAGAAATTGTGGTACATTTATACCATGGAGTACTACTCGGCAATTAAAAACAAGGAAATCATGAAATTTGCAGACAAATGGTGGAAAATAGAAAAAGATCATCCTGAGTGAAATATCCTAGAAGTAGAAAGACACACATGGTATACACTTACTTATAAGTGGATATTAGACATATAATATAGGATAAACATAGTATCTGTACACCTAAAGAAGCTAAGCAAGAAGAAGGACCCTGGGTAAGACGATCAATCCTAATTCAGAAAAGCAAACAGGATAGACATTGGAAGAGGGAGAAAACAGGGAACAGGACAGAAGTTTTATAAAATGCCAAAACTCAACTAATTCATAGTGACCAGGATAGCTTTATATTGCTATGATGAAATAATTTAAAAAGATACTCTTAAAAAGAAAAACTTATTTAGCTCATGCTGTATTTTATTATGGAAATAAAGAGGAGAGCACATACTGAGAGTAGCTAGCACTTAGCCTAAGTGTCTAAGACAAATGGCTCTGAAGCAGCATCTCCCCCACTTGTGTCAAAAAGTGAGCAGCATGGTTACAGTGATCGTGTGACTCCAGCCTAATTAACAAAGCAGGAAAGCCTTCGAGTTCTTCAGTACATTACCAGTCATTATTGACAAATCACTTGCAAGACACACAGATCACGGTCTAGCGGAAAGTCAGAATGACACCTGTGACAAACTATCATAGCATAACCTCAGAAGTCTGTCTGTTCTAGCCCCTTTGTTCATAGGCAAATGAACAGGCACCAGTCACAGGATAGCATGTATTGTCCTGGTGCTGATATTTAATTGTGTTATGAAATTCAAGACCTTAATATAAAGCTCTCCATTTGGCTCAGTAGCTGTTGACTAATTCAAAATACAGCATGGCCACAGAGAGACTCAACAAATAAATTATTGAAAAACTTCCTCAAAAGCCTTGTGTTCCTATTAGTTGGATACAGAAACTGAAAGAAAATTGGAAGGAACATCACTGAGGAGTAAAAAGGCTAAAGTGTGTAAATGGAATAACTGCTATCATTTTTCTTTGCCATTACCTTGACAATAAACAGTTTCTATGGAAGCTCCTGATTTATGGCCCTTTCAAGGCAGTCACTGCTGAACAAAGCCACATTGATTTCCCAAGATCCAAGGTGGGGCAGGTCAAGGCCACTAACAATTGCAGTTCACACTTCTATTGGTTGGTATCTATGAATTAAACCTGACCCAGACCAAATTTATGAATGGGACCCGTCTTGGCCTACCTGTCTTATCGCCAACACATGGAAACTTTTACCTTACAGTAAGTCATGCACAGGAGGGCACCCTGCACTTCTGACCTATGCCTGTGCAAGCGCTCTGGGTAGAGGACCTTAAGACTCTCTTTGAAGATTATGCACCAATAAAGTACATTAATCTTTGATACAGCTGAACCTTCAACTGCTGAGAACAGAGCTATTATAGTGAGACGAACAAAAGAACCACACAGAAAAGTTCAGTGCGTTTCTGCTTGGTTTTCCTCAAGTGAGTGTGGTATAAAAACTGGTTTTGGAGGATTTTCTCCTTCATGGGACATTACAAGGCAAATACGCAAATAAAATGAGTACATCAGTGAAAAAGGCAGAAGTGTGCCGTGAACATATATAAAGACATGCATGAAAAATAGAGAAAAAGGACGCTAAAAGGAGTGGGAAGAAAAATCATTATTTTAACAAATAGGTAGAAAAGCCTAACTGAATAGGAAGAATGGAAAAGAAATTACACAGAGTGGAGAACCAGAGAAGTTGATCTTAAGTGTATGGAAGGTGTGGGCCATTGTGAAGCTTTCTGGAGTAAGTGGCTAGAGTGTGTTTAAAAGGACAAGTCCCAGGTAGCAGAGAGGACAGCTGTGGCGTGTGTTACCTCTGTAACTTGTCATGTGTTCTTTGAGCCCACTGAGAAGCTGGTTCTGGAGTGAGATTGCCCACACACACCCTCACTTCAGACCTAAGTATGTTTGGCCCAAGTTCACTTGCTTAGGGGTGGGCTTTCCCCACCCAGCTCTGTCGCAGAGAGGGACGAGAATGACAAGGAGATCGTGAAATTTGCAGACAAATGGTGGGAACTAGAGAAAGATCATCCTGAGTGAGGTAGCCCAGAAGCAGAAAGACACACATGGTATATACTCACTTATAAGTGGATATGAAATATATAATATAGGATAATCATACTAAAATCTGTACACCTAAAGAAGCTAATCAGGAAGGAGGACCCTGGGTAAGATGCTCAATCCTCATTCAGAAAGGCAATAAGGAGTAGAAGCCGTGGATGTACGCATGTGGGTATAGTGCATATGAACATATGAAGAGCTGAGATCAATACCTGATGTCTTTTGTAATTGCTACCCACCTTCTCTCTCCGTGTGTGTGTGTGTGTGTGTGTGTGTGTGTGTGTGTGTGTGTGTGTGTAGGACTTGCAGAGGTTGGGTCTTTCCTTCAACCTCATGGGGGATTAAACTCAAGTCAGCAGGCTTGGTGGTAAATGACGTTCCTGGATGAACCCGGAAGGCAACCCACCGCCAAGGGATGTTCTTACTGTTTCTCCCACCATGTAAACGTGCCTGCAGTTGGGGAAAGGAGCTGGCAGCTCAACCCTGCAAAACTCACCGAGGGAGAGATAGCTCCACCAGACACCTCGCTGACGCCTCCACTTTCTCACTTGGTTTCCGCTTGAGGTTTCCTGGTCCTGACTCAATCAACAATACTTCCCAGTCAATCTCTGCTGGATTTCTTGAGCGCCCAGTTTGATGTTTTGCCATCCATCCATCCCTTGCTATTTATTGGTTTGC